AGAAGATAGGTGGAGAGGAGACAGACAGGTGAAAGATGCAGGGTTGGAGCCAGTAAAGGTGAGTGTAGGTGGGGAGTTAGGGAGGGGATAGGTCAGTCCAGCGAGGACGGACAGGTCAAGGGGGCGGGATGAGGCTAGTAGGTAGGAGATGGGGGTGGGGCTTGAGGTGGGAGGAGGGGATAGGTGGGAGGAAGGACAGGTTAGGGAGGCGGGGATGAGCTGGGCTGGTTTTGGGATGCGGTTGGGGGAGGGGAGATTTTGAAGCTTGTGAAGTCCACATTGATACCATTGGGCTACAGGGTTCCCAAGTGAAATATGAGGGGCTGTTCCTGCAACATTTGGGTGGCATCGTTGTGGCACTGCAGGAGCCCAGGATGGACATGTCGTCTAAGGAATGGGAGGGGGAGTTGAAATGGTTCGCAACTGGGATGTGCAGTTGTTTAGTGCGAACCAAGCATAGGTGTTCCACAAATTGGTCCCCAAGCCTCCGCTTGGTTTCCCCAATGTAGAGGAGGCCACAACGGGAACAGCGGATACAGTATACCACATTAGCAGATGTGCAGGTGAACATCTGCTTGATGTGGAAGGTCTTCTTGGGGCCTGGGATGGGGATGAGGGGGGAGATGTAGGGACAGGTGTAGCACTTCCTGCGGTTGCAGGGAAAAGTGCCGGGGGTGGTGGGGCTGGAGGGGATTGTGGAGGGGACAAGGGAGTCACGGAAAGAGTGGTCCCTCCGGAAAGCAGATAAGGGTGGGGAGGGAAAGATGTCTTTGGTGGTGGGGTCGGATTGCAGATGGCGGAAGAGTCGGAGGATGATGCGTTGGATCTGGAGGTTGGTGGGGTGGTACGTGAAGACGAGGGGGATTCTGTTTTGATTGTTATTGCGGGGAGGGGTGTGAGGGATGAGTTGCGGGAAATGCGGGAGTCATGGTCGAGGGCGTTCTCAACCACTGAGGTGGGGGTGAAGTTGCGGTCCTTGAAAAATGAGGACATCTGAGATGTTCGGGAGTGGAATGCCTCATCCTGGGAGCAGATGTGGCGGAGGCGAAGGAATTGGGAATAGGGGGTGGCATTTTTGCAGGAAGGTGGGTGGAAGGAGGTGTATTCTAGGTAGCTGTGGGAGTTGGTGGGCTTGAAATGGATATCGGTTTCCAGGTGGCTGCCAGAGATGGAAACAGAGAGGTCCAGTAAGGAGAGAGAGGTATCAGAGATGGTCCAGGTGAACTTAAGGTTAGGGTGGAAGGTGCTGGTGAAGTGGATGAACTGTTCGAGCTCCTCGTGGGAGCACGAGGCAGTTCTGATACAGTTTTCGATGTAACAGAGGAAGACGTGGGGTTTAGGGCCAGTGTAGCTTTGGAAGAGGGATTGTTCCACGTATCCTACAAAGAGGCAGGCATAGCTTGGGCCCATGCGGGTACCCACGGCCACCCCCTTTGTCCCACTTCCTACAGACATACCAGACCGTTATGCACCCGGACAGTATGCTTTCAATGGTGCATCTGTAGAAGTTGGTCTTTTTTTTTTACTCATTTACAGGATGCAGGCATCACTGGCTAGGCAGCATTTATTGCCCATCCCGAATTGCCCAGAGGGCAGTTAAGAGTCAACCACATTGCTGTGGGTCTGGAGTCACATGTAAGTCAGACCAGGTAAGGATGGCAGTTTCCTTCCCTAAAGGACATTAGTGAACCAGATGGGTTTTTCCAACAATCGACAATGGATTCATGGGTATCATTAGATTCTTAATTCCAGATATTTATTGAATTCAAATTCCACCATCTGCCATGGCGGGATTCAAACCCAGGTCCCCATAACGTGATCAGGGTTGCTGGACTGTTAATCCAGCGATAATACCACTAGGCCATCACCTCCCCTCGTTGGTGAGGGACCTTGTGGACATGCCAAATTTCCTGACCAGCCTGAGGAATAAGACGTGTTGTTGTGCCTCCTTGACTGTCACATCGACATGGGAAATCCAGGACAGGTCATCAGTTATCGTCACTCCCAGGAACTTGATGCTTTTCACTCTCTCAATCTCAGTGCCGTTGATGTAAATGAGGGCATATTCTCCTCCTTTCTTTCTGAAGTCAATAATCAGTTCTTCAGTTTTGCTGACATTGAGAGACAGATTGTTTTCATTGCACCACGTCACCAAGCCCCCTTTCTCCCTTCTGCATTTTGACTCATCGTTGTTAGATATCCGTCCCACTATGGTGGTGTTATCAGTGAAGTTATACATGGCGTCTGTTCGGAATTTGACAACACAGCCGTAGGTGTACAGTGAGTACAGTACGGGGCTGAGGAGGCATCCTTAGGGAGCTCCAGTGCTGAGCGTTGTTGTGTGAGAGGTGCAGTTACCTATCCTCACTGATTGCAGCCTATGGGTCAGAAAGCTGAGGATCCAGTTGCAGGGGGCAGAGTGGACAACAAGTTCACACAGTTTTGAGATCAGTCTGAAGGGGATAATGGTGTGGAAGGTGGAACTGTAGTCAACGAGCAGGACTCTGACATAGGTGTTGCTGTTGTCTAGATGTTCCAGGGATATGGCATCCTCTGTGGATCTGTTATGTCGGTAGGTAAACTGTAGGTGATTGAGGCAGGTTGGGAGACTAGAGTTGATGTGGGCCATGACCAGTCACTCGAAGCACTTCATGATTATTGAAGTCAGAGCTATTGGGCGGTAGTCATTAAGGCACGCTGCATATGTTTTCTTGGGTACGGAGATGATGGTGGTCTTCTTGAAGCAGGTGGGGACTTCAGCTTGTAGGAGGGAGAGGTTGAAGATATCGGTGAATACCTCGTCCAGCTGGTCCGCACAGAATCTAAGTGCTTGGCCAGGGATACCATCCAGGCCCGTCGCTTTCTTTGGGTCAACTCCCAGAAAGACCGATCTGACTTCTGAAACGGTGACAGAGGGAACAGATGTCTCTGGGGCTTTTGGGACAGGTGTCGCCACGCCGGTGTATTCTGCTCACACCAAGCATAGAAGGCATTGAGCGTGTCAGGGAGGGATGTGTCTTTGTCCGCTATCTTACGTTGACAATAAAGCCTTCCATCACTTTGCTGATGATTGAGAAATGAGAGGGGGTGGTAATCAAATTGATTAGATTTGTTCTGCTTCTTGTACATATTCCACATGTCAGATAGATGTCAGTTTTGCAGCTGTACTGGGACAAATTTCCAAGGAATATGGCTATCTAAGGAGCATGCATTTGGCACTACATCCAGGATGATAAAATCCTCTGATGAAGAGTAACCAGACTCAAAATATTAACTCTGCTTTCTTCCCACAGTTGCTGTCAGACCTGCTGAGCTTTGCCAGCAATTTCAGCTTTTTCTTAATATCACGTAGAGTGAATTGAATTGTCTCAAGTCTGGCATCTGCCTTGCTGGGGGCCTCATCCTAAAATCACTGACATAGCATTTTTGGCTGAAGATGTTTGCAAACACTTCAGCCTTGTCTTGCACTAATGTTCTGTATTCCCAATCATTGAGGATTGGAAAGTTTGTGAAACATTCTGTTCCAGTTGTTAAATTTTCGGTCACCATCGCAGGACTTCAGAATTTTGATCTGATTGATATTTTTGTGGGAATGTTTTGCCAGGTTGGTATCGTATTTTGGCATGCTGTCCTTCTGTTACCAAAAAAGGGATAAATTCAAACTGACAACGACTGTTCCAATGGTTCAGTCTCAAACTTCAGCTGAGTAATGGAAGGTGTATTGGGCAGTGTGATCAAGTGGCACTTACCCATTAATAACCACTCACCAATGCTCAGGACCACTCATTCCAGCCCTCTACAAATATGGATAAAGGAGCTGCTTCTAGAAATGCGGAGACAGTCATTGCTGTGACATCGGGTGTGACATTGAGGAGAATGGGGCTAGATAGGGAGAGGTGGAGAAGCTCTCCAGTGGTTGGAAACATATCCAGCAATTAGAAAAATGGCAGTGTTTCCTGAGGGGCCATTATCCCCTGCCAGGACATCAACACAGGTCCTCAGCAAAAATATTAATTGGAGCACGTTCCCATAGGAGAAACAAATCATAGTAACTGTCGCATTTTTGAGTTTTATGCTAGATCCTTCTGCATCGGTGATCAGTCCTGGAAACCGTGTTCCCAATGATCTGGAGTGTGTGTTAACATCGCATTTGCTTAGCATGCTTTAATGTAAATCAATGTAAATACATAAATATTTAAATAAATAGCAACGAAACCCAGAGATCAGTGCTGCTAAATTCCCAGTAGGTCAGACAGCATCTGTGGGGATAAAAGCAGAGTTAACGCTTCATATTTAAACACATGAACAAGTAGCAAAGACCATTCAACCTCGCGACTTAGTTCGCCATTCAGTAAGACCATGGCTGATCTGATTTGACAGCAACCTCAGCAATTTGCTTTCTTTTATTAAAACGTGCCATTTGTGGCTACAAGACTCCCCTCTCTTCGCAAAGGAGGAAAATGTTGATTCATTCTCCGCCGGTTCAAATGCTCCGTGCCAAGAAAAGAATTTTACATCAAAATAAAAGAAGTACATTGTACACTTTGAGTTCTGAGGAAGGATCATTGAACGCGAAATGTTAATTCTGATTGATTTCCACAAATGCTGTCAGACCGGCTGAGCCTTTCCAGCAATTTATATTTCTGTGACATTGTACACGCTCTCTGATGTGTAAACAATAAAAACACGATTTGCTTTCTCTCTGTAAACAAAAACTTTAAACGATAGGTTTAATTCTCTAAGTTGCAGCTTTAAAAAAACGCAAAGTAAACAGCTGCTTTTTGGACTATAGTTCCCAAGGTGCATTATACCGCATTGACGGGTGCCGTAAAGTGTAAAGTGTCATGTCGGTAAATTAGACGTGAGGCAGGAAGCCGGATGTCCCACCTCACCTTCAGCTCATTGGTTAATCCATAAGATTGATGGAGGTATTGTCCATTGTGTGACGGAGCTCCTGGAGGGGGCGGGGCCTGCCGCGTTGGCCTTGTGGTTGTGTGGTTGGGGGAGGGGAAGTGTGGCTTTAATTTCACAAATAAGGACGTGAGTGTCAGATTTCCCTTACTTCACGGTATCACCGCGTTAGCTCACTGTACATTAGATCAACCAGCTGTTTTCATCGGTAAGTTTTTGCTTTCTGTTTATTTCCAATGTATCCTCTTGTTTGGAAATGCCTCTTTTAACTTCCAGCGGTTTTCAGAGATTCCAACAGTTTACTCTCATCAATTATCGTGCCCGACTCTGGACAGTTGAAGTATTTCAGCGGTTCCCGTACTTAAAAAGAAGGTCGGCATTTGTTTAATAATTAATTATTTCAGGAATTGCTGAGAGAAGTTGTAACCCTATTTCCAGAACACTATTAAAAATTAGATAGGTTTACTTACTTGGTTTTTCCAACTAATCGTCATTTTAACATGTTTTGGCATTTTTTTTGCGTTATCAGCTAACTGCTTAGTCAAAAAAAATTAACTTTATTGATCAAACATTACTCTATCTACAGAATGTGTGTGGCACTATATACAGTTCTCTAATGTCACAGGCCAAAAACAATTATAATTTGAATACATGTCCAGAATGCACTTATCTTTGTGATACTTCCTCTCTTTTGACTTTGCTATCAATATCAGTCCTTGGCCTCTCTTTAACCTTTGGCACGACTGACCACTAATTTATTCTTCAAATGATCTTTATTATCCAGTTTTATGGGCCCTAGGCTTAGCTCATCTATCAAAGCTAACACTTTTGCTCCGCCCAATGTTTGTGAGTTTGGCATCTTATTTGTTCCCCATCTGAGCTTCTGATCTATATCCTCTCCATCATCAGGACCCAATCTTTCACATTGCCTCCTACTGGTTGTACCTCTGACTCATTTGTGGTATGATGCCCTCAACCTCTAACCTTAACTATTCAACCTGTCTTGCCACCCTTTGTACAAAACAGGAAAGACAGTTAATTTAGAAGGAACCAGCTCTGCAACTAAGAATGAGTAATAAAAGTGGTGCTTGTCCACATCTCACAGACAATTAAAATAAATGGAGCAGCAAGCAGACAGCCGAAAGGTGATAAAGAACCAGGGGTAGTGAGAAATTGTTGGTCGAGAAGTGAAACATGACTGCAGCAGCAACTAAGAGGAAAAGTATTGTATTTTTTCTCCTCTTTTCAAAATTGATTTATTCTTGCATGTACACATAAGTGGTCAATACTTTGGCAATCCAAAAATTCATATGAATCCTTGATCTAATTTGTTAACTTTCTGAAATCAAGCTTGTGGAGTAGCAGGAAGTATTTTTGTCCCAATGATTTCCACAGAAAAGTGCATTTCTTCAATTTTGTACATATTGACAAAGGAGGAGTTTGCAACTTGAAGTTCATCACTTTCCATTATTTCACAATGGAATATTTTATGCTTAAATTATACTGTAGGTACAGTTCTTTATCATGTAAGAAAATGACCCCATCTCCAACTAACCCCTCCCCTTCCTAAAGTCACACAACAACCTGACTTGGAACTAGCATAGAAGGAGGCCATGGATCATTATATCTGCACTGGCTCTCGGATAATAATCCAATTTCCCCTTGAATGCCTTGATTGAATCTACCTACACCATAAGACTACAAGATGTGGGAACAGAAGTAGGCCATTTGGTCTATCAACTCTGTTGCACTGTTCAGTGAAATCATGGCTGATATCATAATCCTCTAATTTGGGGTGGCTCAGTGGTTAGCATTGCCTCACAGTGCCAGAGACCTAGGTTCAACTCCAGCCTTGGGCAACTGTCTGTGTAGAGTTTGCACATTCTCCCCGTGTCTGTGTGGGTTTTCGTCGGGTGCTCTGGTTTCCTCCCACCGTCCAAAGATGTGCTATTAGTTGGACTGGCCATGCTAAATTGTCCATAATGTCCAGGGATGTGGAGGTTAGGTGGATTAGCCATAGAAATGAGTCTGGATGGGATGCTCTTCAGAGAATCATTGTGGACTTGTTGGGCCAAATGACTTGTTTCCACACTGTAGGAATTCTATTTTTAAAAAAAAAAGTTCACTGTCCTGCGTTTCCCCATCATCTGTTATTCCTGTACTATTTAAAAATCTGTCAATCTCAGCCTTGAGTATTCTTAACAATCCAGCCTCTGCAGTAAAAAACTTCACAGATTCGCTACCAACTGAGGGAAGAAATTCCTTCTCGTGTCTGTTAATGAACAAGTTTTCAATGTCTGGGGAAACCCCCCTCAGATTTCAAATCAACACTGTAAGGATTCTATGATTCTATAGCTACTCAAGTGTGACTGCTTTACATTGTCGAGCAGCGAATTCCTTATCACATGAAAGGATGCTGCTGGCATTGGAGAGTTTGAGTTATAAAGATAGGCTGGGACTTTTTTCACTGGAATGTAGGAGGTTGAGGGGTGACCTTTATAAAAGGTTTATAAAATCATGAGGTTCACAGATAAAGTGAACAGCAAAGGTCTTTGCCCTCAGGTAGTGGAGTTCAAAACTAGGAGGCATATTTTTAAGGTCAGATGAGAAAGATTTAAAAAGGACATGAGGGGCAACTTTTTTTTTTACACAGTGGTTGTTGTGTGGAATGAAGTGCCACATGAAGTGGTGGATGCAAGTACAGTTACAACCTTTAAAAGACATTTGGATGAATACATGAATAGGAAAGGTTTGGAGGGATTTGAGCCAAACGCAGGCAGGTGGGACTCGTTTAGTTTGGAAAACTTTAACGTCATGGACGAGTTGGACTGAATGGCCTGTTTCTGTGCTGTATGACTACGAAAATGTTTCTCCTCATGGCTCCATTTCTTCTCTTGCAAATGACATAAACTCTGTGCTCCCTGCTTCTCCATTTTTAAATCAATAGCACCGCTCCTCCTTCATTTGAATGCTTTCGTACTGTTCTTGCTGCTAACTGCATATGTAAAACTCTGAGTACCATCTATCTGAGTCTGAAATTACCTTGCAAAGTACATTAAAATAAAACAAGAACTGCAGATGGTGGAAATCTGAAACAGAAACAAATTGCTTGAGAAAGTCAGCAGGTCTAGCAGCATCTGTGGAGAAAAAGCAGAGTTAATGTTTCATGTCCAGTGACCCTTCTTCAGTCACCTGTTCTGAGTCTCTCCAGCAATTTTTGTTTTTGGTTGTGTGCAATGTACATTGTACCTGATTTAAAGAAAACACTTTTTACAGTCTTAAAAGAAACAATAAATTGATTTTAGGCTGCATTACATGAAAAAGAATCCTATACTTTGGCAATTGATGGTCAATTTGAATGCAGTCTCTGGTAATGCAAATCGAATGCAAAATATTTTGTTCTAGTTTAATTGATCACATGGAGGAATAACCATAACAGGATTGTATGGGGTCCCATTATAATCAAAGATTTGTGTTGCACCATAAACAGCAGTCCCTTCCCTGGGCCAATGTGTTTGGTAGCTATGTGTGAAAATCCACAGTTGAGAGCATCATTGATTTGGAGTCCTTTTTTGATGGACATCTCCAGGTCAGAGTTTTTCTGTTACCGATTATATTTATCCACCTATAAGTAAGTAACCAGCCTGCTTACAGTCTCTGTTTCAGTGCTGCACAGAGTAGGCTAGGTGTATTTGGTGTGGGACTAGAGGTTGAGTAACAAATATACTGATGTGATTCTTAGATGGCACAAAGATAGGTGGGAGTGGGAGGTTTGAGGAAAATGCAAAGGTGCCTCAATGAGATTTACAGAGGCTAAGTGAGTTGGCAAGAATTTGACAGATGAAACACAACGTGGAGAGATGTCAGGTTATACACTTTGGTTGGAGAAACAGTAATACAGAGTATTTCTTAAACAGAATGAGGCTGAGTGGTCTTGAACATTTAAGAGCTTTGACTGGTTGTGAGTCACAAACATGCAACTATAGTGAGGAATTAAGAAGGCAAATTTGCTAAAAAAACAACAATTGGATATAGAAGTAAAAATGTCTGCTGCAATTACATTTTACATGTCAAGAGTAGTGCGGCTATTGTTTGTTGGTTCAAATGACATATCTCAAATAAAAGCCAACATTCAATTGAAGAGAACCACGTCATAAGATAACTTCTTACAGACTCCAGCTGTGTGCAGAGTTGGGAATTCTCAATTATTATTCTTGGTTCTCACTGTTGTTTACCTCATTATCCTGAGTGCTTCTTTTTATACCTAATAATGGGGCCTCTGAAGTATGTGTACAAAAGTTGCCAGTGTTGGTGAAGCAGGGAAAATAAAGTGAAAGGTAACAATATTCTGATTGGCCATAGTCAGCATAGATTTGAGAATGGAAAATCATGTTTGATGAACTTGGAGTTTTTGAGCATATTGTTAACAACAGTTAGAGCGGGGTTAATGGGGGTGGTATACTTGGATTATCAAGAGGATTTTGATAAAGTCCCCCACAGGTTCATTAACAAAATTTAAAGCAAATGGGATAAAAGGTTATGTACTAATGTGGACCGATGATTGGCTTGCAGACAGAAAACAAAGTAGGGATAAATTGGTCATTTTCATGTTGGCAGACTGTGACTTTGAGGACAAGTTTCGTGAAGTCTTGCTTCAATTGTATTGGAGCTTGTTTAGACCACACCTGGATTACTGTGTGCAGGGGTTGGGGGAGCATTAGAACAAGCTAATTGATCCCTGATCATTGCTGCCTCTCTAACTGTTGAATAAAAGAGTATTCTGGTGAATGTGTGAAGTAGACAAGTCTGTTTGGAAATGCATGGCCAACATTTCCTTTTTTACGTCACTCTTGAAAATAGCCAGGGTGAGTTTTTTAAACACTGTTTTTGAGCTTTATTAATAGACAAGGATTTTATATATAGCAAGTGACTGGTATTGTTAATTGTTTGGTATGTATGTAACTTATGTTTTGAGATAGAGATTTTACTTCAGTCATGTTTGTATTTATCTACAGCTAAAGGATGTCCAATTATCTTCCCTCAGTACAATGACTCATGCCAGTAGTTGCCTGATTGTTCGTACACATAGCGAATACTGAAATAAATTAGATTTTGCTATGGAGGTGAAGATGATGGAAAGAGAATAAAATAGAAATTTATTGTCTTGTGTACTTTTACATGAAAAAATAGTAAAAAGTTTTGTTAGTT